GCAGACTGTTGAGGGTTCAGCCTCCTGATGAGTCGGTGAAACTCCGACGAAACAGTTTGTCACAGCCCCCCGTTTGTTGTCCTCTTCTCTCTCTCTGCCTACGGTTTACCGGGCAGTTCTATTTGTGACGATATATATATATATATAGATAGATATTGTGTTTGGATGTTGTGCCTACTTGTGTACAAGCATAACGAAATGTTCGTAAGAGTTTCCTTTTGTGATGCTCTCCCCTTGTTTGTACCTTCGAATCGAATCCTGTTTGTTATCTCAGGGCATGCTCCACCACACTCCAGTTCTGTTTTTTTTTTTTTTGTTGGGTGCTCGCACCGTTTCCCTATCTATCCGGTTCCTTCTCTCGGGACATGCTAGAACCACACTTGTGTTCTGTTTGTTTCTTAGGGTCGATTGTACTTTTTTCCCTCCCATTGTTATCTGAGGGCATGCTTGCACTGTGATTTTCCTGCATTGTTACCTGAGCGCATGCTCACACTGTGGTTTTCCAGGACGTATCTGCCCAGAAAGATGGCTATATCCAGTCGAAAATGTCCAAGTGTGAATATGCTCTTTTATCTCCAGTTTCATGCGCCATCCTGACGTCTGCTAGGGTAATGCCAGTATTCCTTATGTACTATTTTTAGTATTGTGTGTGTGTGTGTGTTGCGTTCTCCAGGAACCACCATCTCTTCCAGCCTCGCCTGGACTCACCCACAACGCTTTGAATACTCGAGCGGTCCAGAACGGAGCTGGGGCAGTACAGGTAAGGCAAAAACAGAAGTTGAGAGAAGAATATAGAAAAAAAAAAAAAATAAAAAAAAAATCCCCGCTGCTCCAGGTGAACTCCATAAGTTGTGGCGACATATGTGGTGGCTGCAGACAGGTTCGGAGTGCGGGGCGGGGGGAGAGGAAAGGGGGGGGGAGGAATGGGGGGCGTAAAGCAAACTGTATGTTTGTGTATCCGCGCTGTTGTGACGGGTCATAGCGAGTGTTCCCACCAACTGGATTGCTGTGAGTGGTAGTGTGAGCAAGCCCTGAGTGTAGTATCACAGACACCAGTGCGTCCATAACATAAGCCAGTGTTGTCGGCGGATTCAGCCACAGTGAGTACTGCTCATATAGTGCAGGGTGACATGCTAAAGACTAAGTAGTGTGTCATTATCTTAGAGACACCCTCCTGAGAGAATGGAAGGCAAGGCAAGGAGGCAAGCCTTGCCATGAATTATGGAAGTAGCAGTACCGAACTGGGGTCGGACTCGTGATATTCTCATGTTGTCTAACATGAGAAAGGTGAATCTTGTAGAACTATTACGGTTATTACAATTTTCATTGCGTGGTTCAAAACTCATAGGTTGGCAGGTATAGGTAGGTAGTTAGTTAGTTAGTTAGGTAGGTGGGTAGGTGGGTAGGTAGGTAGGTAGGTAGGTAGGCAAGGAGGAGGAGGTGGCAAAGACACCTTATGTAGGATGATCAGAATGTAGGCTTAGGCAGGGTGTCATGTATGTAGGATCAGTTAGGGTTTGGGTTGCACGAAGGCAGTCGTAAAGCACCTGTGAACCCCCAGTTAGGGTTTGGCTTGCCTGGCGGGGCCCACTATGCGCCAAGCATTGCAGAACCGCCAGTGGTGCTTTTTTTTTCCCTTTTTTGGGCTGTCGCCGCGAGCTATTGTGGTCCCGTAGCCACACAAATTGCGGAGAGTGGGGAAATCACGATTTTCTTTAAGGCTGGAGCCGTGTACTGGCGGTTTCACACACTAGCCGAATCGGCCTGCCCCTCCGGTCCAAATACATTCGAACCCGGAGGCTACGGAAAATGTGTGTGCTAGGTACTGGTGGTTTAAACCCCCAGTACCTAGGGCATTTTTTGTACCCCCTGGCCTCAAATGAATTTGGACCAGAGGGGGGCAGGGTGATTCGGCCTCCACGTTAACGGCCGCTCCAACAGGTAGGTACTGGGGGTTTAAATGCGCCCCTTTCCTTTGTGCTGTGTGTGGCACCGTGGGAGAGGGTGTTGGCCATTTGAAAAACGACTGCCTGTGGTGTGGCAATCAAACTTTATTTGCCAGGCTGTCGTACCTTCCTGTCGGATGGGCAGTGTGGCCTGCTTGCTGTATTGTATTCCCTCCAAATAAAGCACACGCGGTACAGTAATTACAGCTGTATTTTAGGTAATGTTCTGTCTACATACATACAGCGATAATGGCTGTATGTTTCTTTCGGGGGAAGACTGTAGAGAATTGTCTCGGATTCGGATGGGTTAGGGCCAGATCCCACTAGCCCGTTGTTCATTTCCGACCGTTGATCTTCATAATCAAGGTTGAAAAATGAATAATCCAGGGGTACTGGGATCTGACCCTTACTTTGCTAGGTTCGGTCATGCGGCCCCAGCTTGGTGCCAATCACTCCATTGGTGGGGGCTTTGTTGCCTGCTCACATTTCTCTGTCCTCTGGAAGCTGCTCTTCAGAAGGACTCCTCAAGTGCCGCTAGCACATGGGAGGCACAACCCGGTTCACAAAGATCTCCGTTGTGATGGTATCGGTTGGCCTCACATGTCACAGACCTGTCTCTCTCAGACATGTCAGATCCATCACACGCGAAGCATTTGCTCTGGCCACCGCACCTTAGTGCCCACTACCGTCTTCCCCCGAATAGAACGCCCAGTAATTATGGCTGCATCTAGACTGAAAGTTGCCCCTAGTACATATATAATGACCAGGCGTTCTGTTCAGGTGAAGACGGTTGGTCTGGATGCAATATATGTTCAGATATGCTCCTTAAGCATGCTAGACTTGTCAGATCTGTTGCTCAGGCAGGTCAGACGTGTCGGGTCCGTATAAAGGGGTGGTGTTTGTTTTGGGGGGGGCGAGGGCAATCTGTATTGAGACTATGTTTGCCGCCGGCGTATGCTTAACATTTTCTATAGGCACAGGCAGAGGGTACATTGTGCTGATATAAAAGCAATTGCACTCTCAGGGCATACACACACGCCACCACATCTTTGCTTACGTATGGAATTGCGGGTCGGACACATCCAGGTCTGCCATCCGTGAACGCGGTTGGAAACACTTGACCACCACCAGTTCACACAAACTTGGCCAGTGCTCTTACCTGTATGTATGCGGCAAGAGAATTTCGATTCGAACGTGGGCTGGTAGCGAAAGGCCCAAAGGTGCATGCCACCTTGAAAAGGCGCAGTTGCAGGCTCCCGAGCCTGCAAAGGTAGCAGTGTCAACGTAAACCGCCCCAGTACTTGTAAGCGGCTACCTACTCCTTGGAGACGGTTGTCGCTTGTGGTCGATCATTTTGCCGACCAGATTTATTGTGATGGCACGCCTAAATCACGATGTGATGGCTGTTCCGCAGGTATGTTTTTTTTTTTTTTTTTTTTTAAAAAAGCTATATTCTTCTCTCATCTATCTCAATTTTCTTGCTAGTACTCATCTACCTCATCCTCTCACTAGTCTATGTATAGTACGGGGGAACACCAACCAACCCGGATCTCTCCTCGACATTTACCTTTAGCAGAGTCCACGAAGGGGTCGTGGAATTGGGTGATCACTGATCAGCTAGGCGGCTACCAGAGTGGCCCCCGGGTCCACTTGCCCGGCCGGGCCGAAAAGAAATACAAAAATACAAAAATGAAAAAGTATTTTTTAATTGAAATTTTTATTTGCAATTTGGTAAAGAATTTCGATGTGACCCTGAGGCAAAAGTTGTTCTGTCTACGTTTTTGCATAACATGTTTTTATTTTTCGGATTTTTTGGTTTTTTTTTTTTTTTTTTTTTTGGCTGGGACCTTCCCTAGTCCTTGCACGGCCGGGCCGCCCGGGAAAATAGGGTGACCCGGGCGGTCCGGCTGGTAGCCTAGGTGATCAGCGAAGAAGAGAGCACGCCCTGCGCCCTTTGGGGTTTGGCCTACTGGATCCCAAGGAGCAAATGCTTTTTGTGGTTCGGCTTGTGGCACAAGCCGAAACACCAAAAAAAAAAAAAATGCTCCGTGCTCGATTGCGTTTTCCTTTGGTGCTCTGCGCAAAATGCTCGTCCGGAGAAAGAGGCTCTCAGACGTACACCAGGCGGTTTGTTTAAACCATGCCTGCCGTCTGGAGAGGAAAGTGGTGCAGAGAGAGACGTAAAGCCCTGCCGGAATGGAAACGGCCATGGCCATGGGATGGATGTAGGACGGCCACACAGGCTATCTGATCTTTTTTTTTATCCCCCTGCGACCA